GATGTGTATAAGAGACAGAGCCAGGGCTGTGCTGGCAAGCCTGGGGGGGCTGCAGGGCCATGTGTCCCCCGGGGAGGGAAAGGCCTTGTGCAAGTAGCAGCTGGGGGGACTCTGCTGATTTCAGGGCTCTCACAGCCGCATTTTGCTGAGACACCCAGCAGAGCCCACGTGCCTGCTACCACGAGTGAAGCACACCACAGCCAAGCCCTCCCTGAGCACCCCCTAGACCAGTCCCAGCAGCCCCCTTCTCCCCCCCAGACATCTTTCCAGACCCCTTGCAGCACACCCCCAGTCCCCCATCACCCCCAGCCACATATTGCAGAGCCTCCCTTGGGGGTGGGGGTGGGGGTGTGTGCAGTCCAAACCAGTCCCCCCCACCCTCAGACCCAGGACTGGACCAGGACAAGCCTTCTGCAAACACCTCAGGCTGTTGTGAAGCACCAAATAAAGATGTGGCGGCGGTGGTTTTCTACGCAATCTGTGTGTGTTCCTGTCCTGCTCCAATCGTCACCTCATCAGGACAGCTGGAGGGAGGGCACCACCTGGCATGAGGAGAGCCCTCCAACGCCCCTTGGGGCATCTCAGATTCGGGGGAGAAGGGGAAAATCCAGCCCCAGGTCATCGGATGAAGGGTAGGGCACAGGCAGAGGTGGCTCTGCTCTTGGGCAGGGTCAGAAGGCTCTGTGGGATCTTTCTCCTCCAGGCATTTGGCTTCCCTTCCTGCTCGAGGCCCTTCAAACCCTGTCCCCCTCCCAGGGAGGGCTTTGAGGGGTACTGGGGGACACAGCAGCCCTGCCCATCAGAGCACTGGTCCCAGGTGTTCCCATCTCTGCCTCTCTCCCTGTCACACCAGCCATCACCTAAACAACCAGAACTCCCTAAAAGTGCCATGTCCCTGCACCAGAGAAGGGAGAAAAGGCTTTGTGCATCTCATTAAATACAGGTAGAAATTTATTAAGGGGGGGAAAAAACCCACAGCTTTTAAAAAAAGTATCAAAAAGACACATATGAGGTGAAGTGTCTGTCTTTGGCTGGAGCAGCACTAGAGGGACAGAGAGGGGCTGAAAACTGTCCCGTGGTGGCAGGAGAACGCAGGGAGGGATGCAGGGAGAGACGGAGGTGCCACAGAGCTCCTGGGGTCACCTGGAAAACGGTTGTGGAGAGAGGGAGCCAAGCTCCCAGCCCTTGAATACTCACGCCAGGATATCCCGGCTGGGGGATTCACACCGTCCCCCATTTAACAGCACTGAGACCCACCCCTGCCAAAGCAACATGTACCAGGAGAGAGACAGCCCAGCACCAGCCTGCATGTAAACCAGCCCAGAGGAGTCACCTGGACCCCGAGAAGGACCTGCCTTCATGCCCGTGGGGGAAAGGGAGGGAGGAGGAGATGCTGGGGAGCAGCAGCCAAGGGCTGGGGGCAAGTGGGCGATGTATAGCCTCTGGCAGGGAATGAGGAAGGCAACTGCCCCATCCCTGCACTTCTCTGTCTGTCCAGGATTACCCAGGTCCTTATGCTTTGAAAACGGGAAAGGGGTTAAGCAGGAACTCGAGGCAAAAATGAAAGGCAGGAGCACCAACAGCTTCCTGAAGGGTCTGTGGGCTTCAGGAGCAGCCACACAAGCCCCCCAGGGTGTTTTTCTCCCATGTTTTCCTCCAAGTATGGCACTACAAATGCAGTACATGCCACTCTCTGCTTCCAAAAAGGGAATTTCACTGGAATAAGGGGAAAAGGAGCCCTCCCGCCCTGAGTCCTGCCTCTCCATCCAGTGAGGAGCCCAGGTGGGGAAGCACAAGCCCCCTTCCAATCCTCAGGGGAGCATCAGATGCGAGAGACAGACTGAAAAATACTTTCAAAGCCCAGCTCTGAACACATCAGAGCCACAGAAAAGACCCTGGGGATCTCAAAGTGAGGGAAACCCTCAGCCTAAAGAGCTGTGGATAAAAAAAAGTGACCCTGCAAAAAAATGGGTCGTGTTCACAGTATGAGCTGCAGCGCCTGCAGGCACTGAGGCAGGATGGGGCCCTGGGCAGGCAGAGGCACAGGCAGGAGACCTTAGTAGCTGCATTCCCAGGTGCTTTTGAAGCCCCTTGCCCCAGGGGTAGGAGCCCAGACCAGCTGTGGATGCACCAAAATCCCACTTCCCTTGGCCCTTTCCCCATGCAGGCAGCAGCCGGGGTCAGTCCTCAAACTAATTATGGCTTTTCAGTGCCAAACAGCAGCCCCAAAGGGTGCAGGACAGGATGGCTCCAGCCCTGCTCCCCACCGCATCCCCAGCATTTAAAGGGGGGAGCCCAAAACCCACCAGCCCTGAGGATGAAGCCGTGCCCAGGGTCTCTGCCCCTTCCCAGAGGAGCCACCGTCTCCTGCGGGCTGGTGAAGATCCACCCCAAAAGCATCACTGCCTGCGCCTCTCCCAGCCCTGTCCCCACCGGCAGGGTCAGTGCAGGACCTGCTCCAGCTCGTACTTCTCACAGAACTTGCTGGTAAAGGGCAGGCAGGTGAGATATTCCACCCAGCGCCAGTTCACGGGGTAGACGTAGAGCCAGACCACCAGCGATGCGAAGAGCCCCACAAAGACCAGCAAGGAGACGATGATCATGGCTCGCTTGCGGTACTTGTCCACTGTGCCGAAGGTGATGTAGGGCAGGAAGGCAAAGGAGAGGAGGAGGCCACTGAGGAAGCCGAAGAGGTGAGCAATGTTATCGATCCATGGCAAGAGGCCGCAGACAAAGAGGAAGAGGACAATGCCGAAGAGGTTGAGGAAGGCTTTCCAGGGTTTCTCCAGCACTTGCCAGCTCTGGAAGAGCTCCACGAAGAGGCAGGCCAGCAAGCCGAACTGGGACCCAGCAGGGCCCACCTGCAGGGATGGGGGAAGTCACGGCCAGACCCTGCACACCCGGACACGTCCCCACGTCCCCAAGGACTGTCTCCTCCCCTGGCAAAACACAGTTGGCTCCTGCATCCCTCCGAGGGCTGCACTCACACTGGTGTGGGGCTCACGGGTGGGAGCCCTGGCACAGGAGGAAGAGGAGGGGAGCACACCAGTGCTGTTTCAGTCAAGCCAGCGCTTTTGGTGACTCAGAAGCCAGGCAGCATCACGCCCCTCCAGGCCACAGCCCCCCCAGCCCCGTTCTGATGCACCCCCAGGGGATTAGGGTGCTCGGCCTGATCTCATTTAAAGCCCAGCAGGGTTTTGCTGCCAGCAGATTAGCCATCTGCCCGCCCAGGGACCCGGCACACACCCTGACACGTGGCAACGCGTGACCCACATGGCATGTGTGAACCCCACACGGGGGGCAGAGACACCCCACCACCACAGGGGCATCAGCCTCCCACCCCCAACCTGGCAAAACCTGCCAGAGGAGGAGCACTCTGTGTTGCAGCCCCCTGCCCAAACCTCTGCCAGGACAGGGACAGGGAGGGGGTGTCCTTTGGTCCCCAGGGAGCTGGCTGGGCTTGGGGTGATGTGGGCAGAGCCCCCTGCCCCCTGAGCCCTCACCTCTGCCCTGTATGGCAGGAAGATGGCGCTGGCCAGATTGCCCGTGATGCCGCTGAGGATGAAAATGATGGAGATACGATGCCAGCCTGCCAGCTTCTCCAGGTCCCTTAGCACTGTCATCTGGAATGTCACTGACACCAGGCAGTGGATGATACTGGGGGGAGAGACTCCACGTAAGAGACTCCTGCCCTGCCAGAGCCCCCTCCCAGCCCTCCCATCCACTGCCCTGGGGCACGAGACATCTTACAAAACACCCCCCACAGATGGCACGTGTGGCTGTACTCTGGGGGTGTCCTCCCTCTCCTCTCCCAACCCATCAGCGATCACAGACCATCCCAACAGATACCCCAGTCCCGAGTCACCCCCCCATCCCCTGGGGGTGCAGGGGGGGCCGCGGCTCACCCAGCGTGCAGGAACAGGGACAGCCACAGGCGGTAGAACTGGTCGGGGACCTCGGGGTTGAGGAAGGGCAGGAGGCCACAGACCTCGTCCAGGCAGTGCACCTGCAAAGGCGGCAGGGTTGGGGGGTGACGGGAGCTCAGCCCACACCCCAGAGATGCAGGGAGCAAGGGATGGCTCACAGGGACGTGTGGCCGACTATGTCATGTGCCAGTTGTGGGGGAACACTGGGTGGTATGAGGCACCCACACTGCCCAGGTGCTGGGGAGGGAGCAACCGAGCATCCCCAGTGCCCCAGGAGATCCTGAAGGGCCATTTTCCTGCCTGGGATGTGCCTTTCCCAAGGACACCAGTGCTGCCCGGGAGAGGTTGGCTCCAGCCCTACATTTCCTCCCGCCCCAACCAGCAAGGCAGGCACGCAGCGGGAAGAGTCCCTGCACTTTGCATTCCTCCTGCTCACACCCATCCCAACCATGTGCCATTCCTGGTAGGATCCTATAAAGCTCCTGGGCATCAGCACAGCAGTCTGTGACCCAACTGCCAGCATGGTGTCCCGTGTCCCCCGTCACGGCTCCCAGCCCCGCTCACCTGCGAGCAGAGTGTTGCCTCCTCATGGAAGTAGCCGTGCATGAACTCGCAGTACTCCCGCGTCGTGATCTCACAGCTGGGCAGAGGGCAGGCAGCGGGCTCGCTCAGGACAGGGTTTGTTTCCCGTTCCCCCAAGCATCCCCTTCTGCTCCCGGCTGCCACCAAACCTCCCACCCACCCCAAGGCTCTGTAACCTCCCTCTCCCCCTGGCACAGCTCCAATACAACAGGCAGCAGGGCAGAGTGGCGGAGCCCAGCCTGGGCCTGGTGCCCCCATCACTGTGACCCACCTGCCCTTGGTGCCGATGCAGCAGGGCCTGCCCTTGATCTGGCAGTCCATGTGGGCGAAGCCCGTGTGGTTGGTTTGGGTCTCGTAGGTGCAGATCTGCAGGCAGGAGGGAAAGGAGCTGTAGCAGGGCCCAGCCCCAGGCTCTCCCCATTGCCCGCTGCGTCTCCTACAGAGGCTGCCACCATGGTGCCACCCAGCTCGTGGTGCCACCGGGCTCTTACCGGCCACTTGGTGATGTCGTCGGGCCACACGTGGGGTGGGTTGGATGCTGGCTCCTCACATGTCCTGGTGGGAGGAGGTGAGGGGGGGGTCGGGATGGGTCCCCCTCCCTGCACACTAGTAACCCCCCACAGGCACACAGCCCCAGACCTGCCCCTTCTTCCCTGGCCTGGGAGGGACCCTGCACCCTGGTGTCCTACAACACCCTCCCTATCCCACGAAGAAACACCTTCTGCCGGCAAACACCGCAGCACCCACGTCTGTCAGACACCCCCACGGCTCCCATCGCAGCATCGCCCATCCCAGCAGAGCAGGGCAGGCAGGGGCCAGCGCAAGCCAACGGCATCACCCACTGCTGCCTACTCTGAGGACAGACCCCACCTCTGCTTCCCTACCGATTCCCTCTTCCTTACCGCTCTCCTATGGCGTGTAAGAGCCCCCTAGCCCCTTGGACAAGAGGATTCGAGGTATCCAAGCTGGAAATGCAGCCCCAGGCAGCACCTCTGCCGTGTCCACAGCTGGTGAATGTGCCACCTGCCCTCCCCACAGCCATCACTCCTACCTGGGGTCCTGGTGACACACGGCCCCCGACGTCCGCTTCTCTCCCAAGCCCATGGCCGGCGCATTCGTGCCCGGCCACTTGATGAACGTCGCCAGCGTCTCCTGCAGGGAAGATGGAAAAACTGAGGACGTGGCAGCGAACACACCGCTCTGACCCCGCACACATCCTGCTCTGGCACCGAGCAGGGTGGAGAGATCATTTCCCCCCTTCTCCCCAGGGATGCCCAGCGCCTCCCGGTGCCGGTGGCACACACCGAACAGTCCTGCGGCAGCGTCTGGATGCAGCCTGAGTTGTCGTTCTGGACGCAGCAGCCAGAGCCGCGCTCCCGGTCCCGCTCGCGCTGGATGAGCCGCTCCACTTGCCGATCCTTCCGGATGCAGGGGGAGAACTTGGCTCCCAGGTGGATCAGGTCGATCTGGGAAATGTCAGTCCAGGGGACAGTCTGTGGCACCCCCCCACACCTCTCCTCCCTCCAGCTGCCCCAGGGAGAGCTCAGCTGGGTCCCCACAGGTGATAGTCCTGAGCCTCCATTACCCCAGTGGGGGAAGGGGGGTAGGAAGGGGACAGGGTCTCTTCTGACCATCCCACGGTGGTGCTGCAGCTCTAGGAAGCGCCCCTGAGCTCCCAGAACTGGGTAGCAGGTCCCAGAGGGATGGGGGCACCAAGGGCCCAGGACAGCAAGCTGAGATGAGGGGTCAAGCTCCCATCCAGGAGGAGGAGCCCCCCAGGGACCCCCCCTTGGCTCAGGGCAGGGGGTGCAGAGGCCAGCGGAGGGCAAAGCCTCAGGTTGGGGTCTGGCAGAGCCTTACCGAGCTGGGCCCAATCCAGAAGTTTTCCTGCTGGATGTACTTGACGCTCTCATAGACGCCCTTGTTCCTCAGCACCTGCCGAGCCAGGCCAGGGTCAGCTCCCCATCCCCTGGTGTGCAGCCCCCTCTCCCTCCACTCGTGAAGTGCTGAGCAGCCCCCTTCTTCCGAAGGGAAGGGCTGCTGGGTCCCACCAGCAACATGGGAGGGAGAACAGCCCTGCCACCAGCACACATGCTGCTGTGACACACTGCTGCTCATCCTGCACACACAGAACCCCTGCCCCGGTGATTTACTGGAGCCTCTCAAACAGCAGGAGCCAGCAGCGCCCCAGGATGCTCCCAGCCCAAGCAAGGAACACAACAGTGTGGGACACTGGCGGTCACAGTCCCTCCTGGGAAGATGGACGCCTGCTCTTCTCTCCAGCCTGGGTGCTGGGGGAGCAGTGCAGCTGGCTGCAGGCTCCCAGGATTAACCCCAGAGGATGGATCATCCCTGAGAGGTGTTGAAGGCACCCCCAGACACCAGCCCTGCTTTCCTCAGCAGCTAGCTGGTTGCCATCTCAGAGCCAGACCTGTCACGGGAGAGGCTGGGAGGGAACAGCCCCGGCCAGTAGCTCTTAAACTTACTAACTCTGTTGTCACGTGCTGGGTGAAGCCGATGGGGGCGATGCCGTAGGTGCCAATGACCAGCAAGGTGATGAGGATGTGGACAAAGGTGATCCAGTATGTGAAATACGGCCTGCAGAAGAAAGGAGCCAAAATTTGAGCAACTCAAGGATGGCTGGGCAAAGGGATGCTGCAGTCCCCCAAGTACTGAGGGATACACACATCTGAGTTACAGCTGAGGAGCCCCGTGCCCATCCCCATCCCACCAGTCCCCCCTCACCGGTGGCTGTCAGTGATCTCCAGCTGCGACTGCACGATGCTGCTCAGGCTGTGGCGGTACGTCCTGTTCAGCCACTTCCCTACCACCCCCAGCCCGTAGTAGCGTTTCTTGCGGTCGAAGGCAAAGTGCTTCACTTTGGAAGCGATGCGCCTGCCTCGCCGGGGAGCCAGGCCAGCGTCGGCAGAGGCCGAAGTGAGCCGGACACCCTCCCGCCTGCAGAGAGAGGAGGAAGCCATCACACCTGCCCAAAGGGGCCAGCTGAGAAATCCCCCACCTGCAACCCCATGGCAACAGCTCAGAGCTGGGGAAGGCCAGAGGATGCTTGGGATGAGGACTAGGGGCATCTCTTGGCTTCCTCCTCCTAGAAGCACACTGTAAGTGCCCAGTTGCCCATGGCAGGGATGGCGAGGGACGGCATCCTGACTGCACCAGGGGACGTGGGCAGCCTTGGGGACTGGACTGTCTGAGAGATGGAACTCACGGGGTGGGCTGCTCCACCTCGGGGGACGCCCTGGCATCCTCCCCTGCCAGGTGCATGCGTAGATACGTAGCTGATAGAGGCGGTGACTCGAAGACATCATCGGGCATGGAGTACGTCTCGTCGTGCATGTCCATCTGGAAGGAGAATAGAGGTGGTTTTGGACATGTGTGATGGGTGAGAAACCTCCCTCTGCCCAAGGATGTGCATCACCAGGTGGCTCTGGTTTCTCACCCATCACACATGTCCAAACCCACGATGGCGGCACCGCTTCCCGCCACCCCCAAGGAGCATCACCGAGACCGGGGCTCTGCAGCACTGGGCACAGCAGCCATCCATGTCCCTGCTCCCGGCAGGGTGAAGCACCAACACAGGGGTCCCCATCAGAGCCCTGCTGCACGTCCAGTCCCCGTGCAGGGGCACCAGGACCCCTCCCTGCTCTGGCAGCTGTTGTGGAACAGTGCTTGCCTTACTGAAGAAGGACGAGTCCAGGGTATCCACAGGGTCCACCATGTCCTCGTCCATGAAGCTGGGGTACACGAAGCTCCTCTTGTTGCTCCTCTGCTTGGGAGCCAGTGGCTCCAGGACAGAGCGTCCCTTTGGCAGGGGAAGCAAATGAGGGTAAGCAACCAGAAGTCCTCCAGTATTTGTAGCACCAAGGGTTTCTTGTAGCTTTCCTCCCCAAAGCCAAATGGCAAGAATTAAATCCCAACCAGGCACCATAACCCGCTGCATGGGAAGGGCAGGCAGCAGGAGCTGGCAGCAGTTGCTGCCTTCAGCTCCTCAGAGCCAGCATTAGACCATGACCATGTTAGTCAGCATGACAAGTGAAATCTGAATCCCATTTGGTCTCAGTCCCAGTCCCTGTCCCCGAGGCTTGCCCAGAGCTCCCCAGGGGCTAGAAAGCTGTCGGAGAAGCTTCCTGGCTCCTCAGCAGTGAAACTCAGAAGCTGCTTTTTTCTAGGCATGTCCAGTTTTCACCAAAACTACTCTTTTTAAGCAGAGCTCATGTTAAAAAACACTAACCTCCCCCCTCAAACCCACCCTGGAGAGACAACAATCTCTGTGCAAAGCAAAAAGCCAAGAAGCAAAGATGATGTGTGAGGGACAGAGCTGAAACCCAGGTCAGGATGATGATGACATTCCCCAGGTCCACAAAACTCACGCGGAGAAGGGCTGCAGCTGCCTTGAAGCTCATGTGGGCAACAGACTCCCTCTTCCTGCGTGGCAGGCGGCCGTAGCCGGAGCGGATGCTGTTGAAGGATGCCAAGGAGACAACACCAGGGGTGAGGGGGGGCAGGACGTGGTGGGGCGTGTTGGGACGGTCGGTCTCATCGGGATGGCGGAAGGGACGGCCCCTGGCCAGCGGGTCCACGATCTGGAGGACGGGAAAGGTGTCAGTGCTGGGAAAGCGAGGCTGGGAGCCAGACCCCACGCCCTGAGCTCTACCTTGGGCATCTTGGCGGGCTTGGGTGACTCGGTTCCTTGGAAGGAGGGCACGTCCTGGCTGGGCAGCTCCATGTCGCGGTAGGCAGGCTTCAGCTTGCCGTATCTCATGCTGCAGTGCTGCAGGCTCTTGAGTTGCCATTGCTGTCGCTTCCCCTCCCAGTCGCCACTGACACCAAACCACTGTGCTGTGCCCCTGGATGCACGATGGGCACACTCGTCACCCAGCTGGGCCCCCCACCCTGAGTACCACCATCCAACCCGAGCATCCCCTCCAGCAGATGACTGGGGTTGGGGCGCGTTGGCTCAGCCCACAGCAGGGCAGTTTTGACCCAGCTATGGGTTTCAAGGAAGTGGGGAGGGAAGGGGAAGGGACGCTGCAGAGGGGTCGCTGGCCTTTGTGTCTCTCTGGAGAGGTAACACCATCGAAAGTTGCACCTCGCACGGGACACTGCATCGGCTCTGGGCTGCAGCAGATGCCTGGCTTAAGGCGTTTGTGAAGGCCCTACATAAACAGGGCTGAGAAATTTCCCCAGTGTACAAAACAACAGTGTGAATAAGCACTGAACAATTTGCTGCAGGATTATCCCCAGGCAGACACCAGGGAGTCAAAGCAGAGCGGCACAAAACCCTCCAAGCTGTTCACTTCCAACCTGTGACTCTCCATCTCCATCCCCAGTCCTCTGCTGCTACCCAGAGCCATAACACCCCAACGGGGACTGAGGGGCCCCTCTGGTGATGCTGCCAGAGCCCACCCTGCCCTCAGGCCGCCGCTCCCCGGCCCTCACTTGCGGATGCTCTGGGACAGGGAAGTCTGCCGGCGGAAGCCAGGTTGGTGCTCACAGCCCTTCGAGCGGGGCTCCTGCAGGCTCTTGCTCTTTCGGTAGATGGGGACCTTGGAGGGCTGGAAGGCAGAGCAGGGTGTTAGGGACAAGGTGGCATGGGGGGATCCCTCAGACACAGCAGGCCCCCAAGCCCAGCATGGGATGGACAGTGCTCCCTGTCGCTCACCTCCTTGCGGGTGCCATCCTCCTCTGCCTCCCGCGGGGGGATGACGATGGAGAGGTTCGGGGGCTTCTTGCTCTGCAGGCGGCTGCTGCTGGAGCGGCTGCCCCCGTTCTTGTCACCGGCTGACATCTTGGGCTGGTGGTGGCTGGCAGGCTGGGGGAGTGCAAGGAGTCAGTGACAGAGGAAGAAATATCTCCCCAGGAGCTCGTGTGTGGGGTCCCAGGGGGAGATGGGGTCTCACCAGCCTCAGCTCCATACACCACTGGCCATGCTACTGAGACCTTGCCACCAACAGCCCAGCCACTGTGTCCTCAAAACCTGCACCCCCTCCCCGGGTTTGTGTGGACAGGAGGGCTTCCATCACCCACCCACTCCCGGTCCCCCCGGACCACCCGCACCACCCCTTTACTTGCCAGGAGCAGAGTGAGGGATGGCAGGGGCAGTAGGGTCAGAGCATCCCCAGCACCCTGGCATGTGCCTGTGGCACGTGCGGGTTTCCCAGCCCGTCAGGAGGCACCTGACCAACTCTGCATGTGTGTGGGAGACACGGGGAGGACCCCTGTAAGCCCTAGGCAGGCCCATGGCACACATCTGTGGCTCTCAGATATGAGGGCACTGGCCCCCATGCTTCAGCACAGTGAGGGAACTGAGGGGGGATCGCAGGTGCTCCGGGGGGGTCTGCAAAGTGCTTATCTTGTCCGTGCAGGGCAGAGTGGGAAGGGAGGGGATGGATGCAGGCAGGCAGGGGACATGCAAAGCCTGAGAACACCAGATTCACATCCCCCCACCTCCAGCACAGCCCCCCATGGGGGATGTCTCTGGCTGCTGTGAGAGGGGCTGGGGCGGCCTGTGCCACCTCCAGCTACGTAGCTGGGACCCCCACGTGTTGGGGTGCCCCATGGGAGGGGACACACGGGATATTCCCCTCTGGCACATGCTTGCATACACCAGGCTGGGAGACTGAATCCTCCCTGGTATCATGTGCAAGGAGGGGGAAGCTTAACAGCCAAAAGGTGGTAAATTCCTTGAGTAATCCCCTCCCGAGGGTCCAGCTCTACCAGCACCTCGCAGGAAAAGTAATTCCATCTGAGCACAAGGGAGCGAGTCCCAGATCCGATAAGTGGCTATGGGGGCTCTTGAAGGGAGACATGGCTCCCTCTGGCCTCTTCCTGTCCCCCCAACCACACGCCAGTGCCCAGGGGAATCACCAGGTCTTACGAACATCCCTTGTCCCCCCAGCACAGCCACGGCCATGGGGATGGTGCCACCTGCCCCGCTCACGCCCTTTGGTGTGCCATGGGCCAGCCAGGAGGACCAGCATCCCCACAGGATCTGCTCACAAAGGGAGATGGGAGCTGGCCCTCTCCCCCTGAGGGGGATGGCAGAGTCCCCCACACCCCCCCCAGGGGTCCCACTGGGGCTCCTCTGCCCTCACCCACCATCTCTGAGTTGGAGCTCAGAGTCCAACAGTGCCACTGTCTGCAAAACTCCAGCTCGACCCATGAGCCTGGCCCCTCTCTCTGCCCAGGATCCCAATAACCAGCGCAGCCACATGGCCTCACACCCTGCTCTGTTCTTGCCGAGTAAGGGTGCTCAAGCAGTCAGCTGGGCAATCAAGACCCCCCCCCAGGCCCCTCTGCAATGGGGTCCCCCTGGGCAGTACATGCCTGAGCAGGAGGCAGCTACAGGGGCACTTCTGTAGCTCCACCAGCATTCACAGTCCCAAGTACAACCCTCCCATCAGACCCCACCACAAGCAAAGCCTGGCTTTAGCAGCATGGAACCAGCTCCTGGGGGATACAGGAGTCCAGGACCAGCTCCCTAAGGACACAGGAGCCAGGAGCTGGCAGCACTCGAGAGCATCACTGCCCTTCAGCAGCTCCTGGGCCAGGTTTCAGCCTGCTACTCCGACCTGCCTCTGCACGGCTTAAAATGGGTGCTGGGCTGGCTGGGGCACCGCAGGGCAGGGATGGGGTGAGCCACTGGAGACACGCGAGACGTGCATGGCAGGGGGAATGCCAGATCCAACCCGAGCAGTGGCTTCAGTAAGACCCCATTGTCAAGGGGCACCAGCGGCCCTGGCTGGTGGCAGGGCAGGGTCCTCATTCCCGAATGAACCCTGCTCCTCTCTGGCTTTGGTGATAAATCAGTTCATGGGGGGGATCTGGGTGGGAAGATGCAAGGCAGCCATCACACAGATGTCACTAGGAGCAGAAAGATGTTGCTGGAGGCAGTACTTTTGATCGCAGGCAGCACCCCAGCATGCTGCCTGCCTCCCCTCTTCCCCAGAGACACAGAAGCAGCACCCTTGGGTGCTGTCAGCACTTCAGCTGCTGCCTCAATCCTCGCTGCTGTTAAGCACCAAAGCTGGGAGCAACCAGCCCCCAAAATTCTACTGGTCCCCGCCGGGGTCTCCCTACCTCATAAGAGTGGCAGGGATCCTGCACAGCGTGTCTCAATGGCAACACCTGTGGTGGCCTTCCTCTTCTTCCTCCTCCTCCGTCCTTCACGCACGAGAGCCCTGGAGCACGGCCAAACTCCTCCTGCCTTGCCTGGTGGGGAGAGCCTGCAATGAGAAGTCATGCATGGGAAAGCTGCAGGAGCATCCTGGGCAGAAGGAGAGCTGAGCTCAAAGCTCCCCAGGTCCTGGGGACAGGGCTGCCAGCAGCCAGACACTGGGGACATGGACCAGCTGCTGACACAGGGTGGTAGAAGGAGGCAAAAACGCCATTTGCAGCAACGCACCTTGCTCCGTGGCAAGGGAACTGTGCAGGATGGGCAGGGAGTCTTCACCCGCCCCTGCTAGGCCAAGCTCTCACCCACAAAGAGCAGGCACGAAAGGCAAGTGCCTCGCTGAGGTATTTAATAGCTGCTAAGCTGGGAGAATGCCAGCCAGGCGGTCCATCCCCAGCAAGCAAAACTTTCCGTCCTGCTGGCGAGCTGGAGATGTTGTTTGTTTTCCTCCCAGGGCAGCCAGCAATGAGCTCGAGATGCCAGCTGCTCCGGGGAGCCAGGGATGGGAACACACCAGGGCTGGAGCGAGCCCCAGGACACCCTCATCCTCCTCCACCCCTGGGGAATGGTTACCAGCAGTAGGGACAGAAGCACAGGAATTGGAGCCAAATGGTGTAGTTCAGGGGTGCAAGAGGACATGGTGCCTTTGTGTAGCCCCCCTCTTAACACTCCTGGCCCAAAATCCCATCCCTAATTGCTCCCATCACACCCAGGCAGCACTGGGAAAGGACATCTGTGCTTCCTGGTGAAGCAGGTTTGCAGCATGGTTAAAAGCCCCATCCCACTCCCACACAGCGCGGGTGGATACGCAGATCCGGCCTGCCCCGAGCAAGGTGACGCAGCTCTGGGGGAACTGGCACAGCCCAGCGGGCACCTGCTGTCCCGGTCACGCAGGGTAGCCAGAGCAGTTTTCATGGCTCTGCACATTAACACACATTATTTGGAACTGAGAAAGTGGGAGGAGGAGGGCAGCAGCCCCCAAGGGTTGAAGCTTCCTTGGCCACATGAGTTGGGTGCAGCGGCCACCCCCCAGCACAGATCCTGACCCACAAGTTTTACGCTGCATCAGCCAGAGAAATCCCCTGCAGATGGTGCTGGGAAGGCATTTCCCAGCTCCCCGCGTGTTTAGCCCTGGCACCACTGTCGCCCAGTGTGCTCGGCGTGTGAAGGGGCCAGCCAGCACCTCCACCCAGAGCTGACCTGCCATGAGCTCGGCCCCTTGGGTCCCCTTCACCCTCCCAGCCCTGGGACGAAGGGCTATGCCAGCAGGAGCATCACTCTCTGCCCAGCAGCCCCGGCACCAGCAGCCCCATCCACAGGGCACAGCCCCTGGGTGCTGGCAGCTGCACGTCCCCAGGGAGCCTCAGCTCAGTCCCCAGGCACCCGGGGTGGACGTGGTGGCTCTGCCCTGGGGTTAGGAAAGGGAAGTGAGAGGCGACATGCTGAGCTGGCAGCAGTGCGAACGCCCTGCTGTGGGGACAGCAGCGGGGGGGGGTGACAGAAAAGGGACTCAGCACCCTCAAACACGTCCTGAGCTTGGTAAGAGCTTTGCTTCTAGCTGGAAGAGGGGTTCCAGCGTAGCACAGTGTCACTTCAGGCTGGAAAACATCTCCAGGGAGAGACAAAAATGCACTGGGGACACTACCATCATCTGCAGGGGAGCGATAAACGGGCAGGGGGGTGGAGGGGGGTAACCTGGTCTGGTTGATAAGAATAGATCCCCCACATCACGATCTTCCCTCTCAAAGCTCATCTGAAGTTCACCAGAAGCCTGACATCCAGCAGCAAGGGACACAGCCTGTGCTCCAGCTCCAGCAGCAGGGGGGTGAAGTCCCTACCCCCTTCCAAGCGGGCAGATGTGTTGCAGTCACTGGTGAGCAACTGGGACGAGGTTTTAGTCTTCAACCGGGCAAGGCACAGGGAAGGCGACCAGGGCTGGCTCTCAGCCCTGGGGTGAATCACGACAGACACTGACCCAAGGAAGCACACCCAAGGAAGCAAGTGATGGAAAAAGTGACGTGGCTTGTACAAGGCATCACCATGGGACATGCTGGCATGCTCTGAGCAACGCAAAGGGACCACCAGCAAGGCCAAGCAGCAACCTGCAGAGCAGAGCTAGGGAAAACCAAGCATAGCCATCATATGAGACGCTGGTGACAACCCTGCAGAGCAGCCCTGGTCGGAGAGGGATGTATGCAGGGCACAGCAGGTGCACAGAGCCCCAGAGAAGGGTCGGGACTGCTCTCCCTGAGCCTGTTGGTGTGAGGAGAGGCAACATTACCAGTGCTGGAATATAAGTGCATCAGGCTGGTGCAATTAAGCTGGGAGGGGAAAGCAGCTCTGAGCCACCCGAGGGCGTGGGGCCGGGAGCGGGACCCCTGTGAGCACCCAAGCACCCATCACACCCATCACTCTGAGCATGGTGACCCCTGCTCTTCCCTCTGCACCTCCGGAGGGCAGTGAGAAAAGGGTCAGCAATGCCGCGGAGCCCCCGACCACCCCCGCAGCCATCGCGGAGGCTCACACCCAGGAGTCCATTAGGCAGAGTGCATGCTGTTGCGCTGACAGCTGCCAGAAATGATTCAGAGTGCCTTAAAGACCTTTCTCTAGGCTGGAGCCTCGTTAAAAGGTGCTCCTGGTTATGAAGAGCCCCAGACAGGAAAGGCAGTCAGCCCAACTGCTCTGAGCACTGAGCCTCTGTGGCCTCGCACCCAGGCAGAGGACCCCGAGCAGCCGCCCAGCACACCTTCTCCCTCTTCAGCTCCCTTGCTAAAAGCTTTTTACCATTTTCCAGTTTCTGAGAGAAGCAGCCCAGCACAAACTGCTCTTGAAATGAAAAGCCATGATTGAAAAACAACAAGAAGAACAAAAAAAAGGAAAAATACTTCTGGGATGGAGAACTAATTATCTTAATATTTTTCTTTCTTCTTGGAAAGCCCTGACCTGTGTGTGCCTCAGTCCCTCGTGAACCCACTCAAATGGGGAGACCTGGAGAGCACCGACCCCTGAGCTGAGGAGCCGCTGCCTCCCTCCTCCCACCCTCTGCTTTTTTTTTTTGTGCTCTGAGTATTCAAGGGTTTTTTTTTAAAGGACGAAACACACTTTATGGCACCACTGCAGCAACCCTCCTATCCCTAAAAGACTTCATGTCCCTGTACAGCCCCACGCCCACAGTACAGAGCCCCCCCTGCAGCCCATGCATGACCATTTCATGCCCCAGCACCACGACATCACGCCGATTTTTTTTTTTTCCTCCCTCCACCACAGCAAAGGCAACTCCATCTTTTCCCCACATGTGCCAACCCCGCCACGGTGGGACTGGTCAGCAAACCTCCAAGATGCAAGGTTTCACTCTGAGTCTTGAGAGAGGACCTCTGTGTTCCAGGGGGTGTTTTAAGCTGTCCCCTCCCTCTCCTCTATTGCTGAGCCACGTGGTCGGCATCAGCGACCCACAGGAGCTTTAATCCCCGTCTCCAGCATGGCTGCTGGGGTAGCAGGATGGGGTACGGATGTCTGACGGGTGGTGAGAGCCTGGCCGGACCCCGGGGCACGCAGGCAGCCGATACGCACCTCACCCACGCTGCCATTAGGAAATCCTCTCCCATTTTCTACATCGGGCAGGACATTGGGCAACCACAGGCGGGTTTGCTCAGCCCGGGCGAGCTTGGAGCGCGTGGCACGCCCTGGAAGGAAGCAAAGTTACCAGGGGAGATGGACGGGGGGGCTGCGCGGGGTGCTGCTGATAAAGGCGCAGCGGGCAGAGCCCTGCCTGCCTGCAGGGAAAGGAAGCGAGACCTGGGGAGGGTGCACGGCTGCTCGCATCGCTGCACCGGGCAGCCACGTGCTGGCCTTCCCTGCTGCAAGGGTTTGATCACCGGGAGCCTGCGTGGCCCAGCTCTCCCCAGCAGTCCGGGGAGACACCGCCGGTATCTGCATGGAAAGGGAAGGATTTGCCTGCAAGATCTGGGATCTCCCGCCACGGGGAGGACTTCCCACATCCCAGATGCACCTCCTTTCCCCCTCTCATTAATTTTTACCAGCACAATGACCCACCCTGCCCTGGCAGAGTGAGTGCTGGCACCCACAGGCTTCCCAACACGCTGGGGTGAGCTGGGGTCCCTCTGCGCCACTGCCCACCCACCCCCCCCTCCCCACAGGTCCCTCACAGCAGAATAACCCCAAATAGGTGGCACTGCACAAACTCACTCTGCTTCCTGAAGTGGAGACGCACTGGCCAGGGCAGTGGGTGCTGCTGGAGGGGCCATGGCTGTGCAGGGGGACCCCCAACCCGCTGGCCCTTTCCTAGGGCTGGAGCCCAGGGCAACTGGGGAACATGCATGCAGATGCTTTGAGTCACCCCAACGGCTTTGGAAAGAGCAAAGGGCGAAAATCTCCACCAGCAGTGTGGGAAGCAAGGGCAGCTCCACCAGTGAACATGCAGAGGGGTCGGCTGCTCCCCAGCTGCACTGCAGGAAGGGTTGCAGCACTCTCCAGACCCGAGGAAAGCTTTTTTCCAGGCACTGCACAGATTTCCCCAGGCTACCAGCATTGATTTAAATTGGTTTTATCTAAGAACTGAGTAATTACTCTGAGCTACTTCGATTCCTCATTAGCTTGGCTTAAACACGGGGTGCATGGGCATGATGGTACGAGTGCTTTGGCCACAGCTGCACCTTCTGGAAGGGGCTGAGGGGTCCCAGGTCATTATTTACATGAGGCAAGGGGGGCAGCTTGCCTGCAAGCCGTCTGCCTGCGATCCCCACAGCACAGGTCATTACTGAGTTCACTCTCACTTCCCTCTTCAAAGCAAAATACTTGTTCGAGAGGACAATGGGGATGGGGGGGTACCTTTCTTCCTCCCATTCTTCTGCAAAACAGCAACTCTTGGTGTGAGGACTCAGGCTGGACTTGCAGACTTCCCCAATCCCTCACTGCCTGTTTCAGAGAGCACTGAGCCACCCAGAACAGCACTGAGCTGGGAGAAACACCCCATATTTGCAGAGGGTCCCCTCACCATGAGCTCCAAGCATTCCCGCTCCATGTGGGATGCAGCAGTGGGAGGTGGTGCTCAGTCCTGTGTGCCAGTTCAGCTCATCCCAGGCACAAGATGAGCCCTGGGCTGGCGTCAGGATAAGGCCCCTCAGCTAAAGCTCTCTATCTCTGGGAACAGGCTCCTTATCTCAGCGCAGCCATTTCAAGGCTCGTACAATGTGGCTGCTCACCCCGCTGGCCCCCTGTGCAAAGGGAGAGGCCCGGATGGACAACAGCAGCCTCCTTTGATTCCCCCCTGGGGCCAGCAGCTCCCAGAGGGGACAAAGCAGTGGATGAAGGTGGTGCCTCTGCTTGCAGCAAGCTGGGGGGTGACTTTCAGACACCCCATTAAGCCTCAGTGCTCCCCTGGCTCCCGAGCAACCCAGGGAGGCTGCTCCCTGCCCACCTCGCCCTCCTCCCAAACACCAGCAGCCAAATGTGGGCCACTCCTCAGCCTTCTTCCCTTCCTTCCCAAGTGCCACAAGGCCAGAAGCACCCAGGTCTGCACCCTGCAGAGGAAAGCCTGACCCGGAACAGCTCATCCCCATCCAACACACTGCAAGCCCAGCATGGGGGTTCCTACGCTCACCAGTGCCTATAGAAACCGTGGGATGCTCTCCCCCACCGCAGCATCACTGTTGGATCTGTGCCAGCAATGCACTTTGCAGCCTCTCGGCTGCCAAGAGCTGGTGGTGGGGTCTCCCCCACCATCCTCATCCTTTTCCTGCTTGCCATCCCACCCCAGGGATGCTGCACCCACAGGGAAGCCACACAGCTCACTGCAGGGGCTGGGGATGCTGATTTTTAAGGAGCCATGTCCACGGAGTGCTCGGGTTAAACCACCACATACATGAGCCAACTTCACCCTGGTTATGGCGTCACCCAAGGAAAAGCCTTACGCCAGCAGCACGGTGCCAGTCCCGGCAAGACTTCCCTTCTCACACTACGGAGGAGCTGAGGAAAGGGCAGGACGCGCCAACGCCGAGCGTCAGGGATTCGCCCCAGCTGCCCACAAGGACGGCATGCAGCCTTTGGGCTTACACATAACGGGAGGT